AAATTATACTTCACAATATTTCTTCGTCGATTAACAGAAACCTTCTTTTGGATCACTTTTATATTCTCTTTCTTTTTATTCACTTTAGATGGTTCAATCTTACTTGCTTCAAGAGATTTAACTGATTCATTCTTCTCTTGATTTTAAACAACTAGATCATGTGACTCTGGATCTTATGATCTTCATGTACTTCTTCTATTTCTATATCAGGATCTTTGCTACTTTCTATTTCTTCAAAATCAATTAAATTGGTCATTTTCAGTCCAATCAGTTTTTTTCTAAGAATTAGTATATTTGCTATAGGTTTTAGACAAATTGGTCTATCGGCTGGCAAAAATAACAATTTATCATCAAGAATCCCTAAATATAAAGCTTGATTTCCTGCATTATTAAGAACACCTAGATTATTATTCATTAATGCCAATAATGCTTGAAGAGCTTCTTGAGAATCATTTCTATTAAGCGTAGGGTTATTATTATTAACACCTTGATTATTATTAGTTACTGGCGGTCGATTATTAACTGGAGAATTATTATAATTGTTTGGTAAATAAGGACAATTTTAACTATAATGTCCAGTATGACCACAAGTAAAACATATTATAGTAGATAGAGCAAAATTTCCAGATTGAGGTCGAGATAGCAACCTTTGTTGATCTTGAAGTTGGGTCATGAGTTTATCAATTGAATTCGTTAAACTTTTCAAGGCCTCAGCCATCTCATTCGAACTAGCAAAGTTAAGGTTTGGGGTACCAAGAAAACTATAAGGAGTATGAAAAATCATTGGGTTGCATAAGCAGTTTGAATAGAATTTTGTTTGTAAGGATTTTCAAATACCTTTGCTCTAGTATATGCCTCTTCTAATGTATTAGGGGTTAAAGGCAATACAGCTATAAACAATTCTGGTCGAAGTCTATTAATAAACATTTGGGCTTTAGCTATATTAGAATACTGATGCTCACTCGACTCTACTCGTCAAAACATTTCTTCAATTGCTATATGATATTCATCTATACTTTTATCTGATAATTGTTTTCTTTGGGTTAACTGGGCAAACTATTTTCTTTCCAATTCAGGAGTTCTGAACTTATTAATGAAATGGGTAGTAAAACTCTGTTGAAATACCAAAGAGTCATACTATCGATTAATTATGGGTGCTGTTTCTTCTTGTAACCTACCACATAGCGTTGGGCCCTTAAGCTTTGGGATGATCACAGAAATCTTCTGGAGCAGTGATATAAGATTGGCCTCGAAAGCTTTATAAACATCTTCGAGCCAAGTTATAGGATCTTGGTCTCTTCTATGAAATTCGGGATAAGGTATAGTGTTAAGTTCCTGAGAATTAGCAGGAACATTAACTTGCAGGAGCGGTGTAGTTTGTATCTGCTGAACCAAAGCGGCAATTTGGTTAGCCGGGTTATGCAAGTGTTATTTAGATTCAATTGAGCTGGCTCTTGAAATTGTTAGTTAATAAACATTTCTAATCAAATCTATGATTTCTTTAACACAAATATCTTTTTTAATCCACACAATTGGCACCAAATATTACTATTGTTTGGGAGAGCTTTTAGAACTATCAGCACAATTTAACTCCAATAGTTAACTTTTATGTTCTTTGTGAGAACTCAAAACAATATAATAATAAATATATTCGATTATAGTAATAACTCAAGCACGTAAGATTATGTAATTGATCCAAGATCGGGGCACTTAATTATATCTACCGGTAATCAATCAAGTAAATAAATCAAGTTATGTAATTGTAATTAAATAAATCAGTAATATCTATAGTTAATCAATACAACCAATAATAAGGGTCAATACTTATAAGGTAACAAAATAATAAGGTAGTAAGAAAATATATAATACGATCGTGAAGCATCTTCATGGTTAAGATAAGGGAAATAAAATATAAAAGAAATACAATAATATAACGATAACTTATATAATATTAATTCGAAAAATCAATTCTTAATACTTCTATATTAAAGACAATGAAATCTAAAGCTTTATTCGAAGAGCAAAAAGGCAGCTCTTTTATACTATCGAAATACATAGAAGGCTTACTACAAAAAACTAAGTACATCTCTATTCCTTAGTTCATGTCTGTTCTTTGTTTTAACTTCACCCGACCAGACCTATACCTTCTAAACCAGGCCCTTGGTTATTATTCCAGGTCCTTACGTTTAATCTCCCTATTTACTTTCTATTCTAAGATCTTATCTAAGTTTTAGTACATATTTAATCTTTACGCTATACAATAACAAACAAATAAAAGAAATCTACAGATATAAAAATAAACAGAAATGACAAATAAATAAATATTTGTATAGATCTAAACTTTTAAGCCTTTGCTTCTAATTCAGTCTTATAATTTCCATAGGGTTCCGAACATACACATTCTCATTACTACCAGTCACGATTTTTCAAAGAAAAAGCATAACATTACCTACCTTTTGTTTTTGTATTTGTTTTTAATATTGGTTTCTGTTTTTTTCTTTTTTCTTTTTAGAATTAATATTAGTATTAGTAGATTTTTTTGTTTTTTTTCACTTTCCTATAAGAAGATATTATTAGATTGGTAGTATCCTATTGTAGAGCAGTGGTTTGATATAAGTTTTTCAGTATTAACTTAGATCATTTTGACTTAAATTATTAATATCCCTTATAGGAAGGTTAGCCTGGTATAGCTGGTTGCTTGTAAGTACTTTTAAAGTAATTGTAAGATATTAGACCTAAATATTAAGCTTATATTATGTAATGCTCATAATATAATAATCTTAATAAAAGATTACTAACAAGATAGCCAAAGTGAGAAATAATAATAATAATAATAATAAACAAGAACCAAAAAAAAAAATTATCACTCCACCAACTAGGCCACCGGAAGAGTACCGGAGGAAAAGGACCCAACCGTGGGGACCAGGGGCAGGTCATAGCCCTTCCGGGCCATC